GCCCTCTGTTGTGTGAATCTGGTATTGAAGCAACACCACAGCAGGAGGAGTGGGCAGGATTTCACAGAGGTCACTGAGGTCATTTCAATGCCATGAATGCATGCTGATTACTTGTAAATTGTACTTTATAATTACATTATTGTCAAAAAAACAAAACAAATAATGTTTTTAAGGGAATTTTCTTTCTGCATAATTTGTCTTGCTGTTAAACAACCAAACAATTCTCTGGCGCATGTATCTTAGGAAACTAAACATTAACTTTGCTTCCTGGATGCACATTGTGCTCAGTTTTTTTTTTAAACCATTTGGTGTTTTTCTGATTGATTTGGTTCATGTGTTTGAACAAACTCTTCTGAGTTCCTTCAGAAGCTTGTGTTCCTCCTCCACAAATCACTCCCACCCAATCCTTTGGTTGCCTAAACTATGTTCTGGAGACGTGCGTAAGCAGTGGCTTGCTATTTTCAGCTGAATGAAAAGAGACTTGGCACTAGGATGAAATCTGTTTTGTTCTGCTGAATTTGGCTTCCACCACATGCACAGTATCTACATGCAACAGAGTAAGATAACTCAGTTGATGTCTTCCTGCAAAACCACAACGATTTTTCCAGGAAGAATTAGGCAACTTTCTAATAATACGTTTGCTGTCTATGATGTGAGAGGAATATCTTGTGTTTACTTTTTGAAGGATCTAACAGGTTGATGGACTCCCTCACATCACACAGCCACTGCCTCAACTATGAATCACATTACACTTATTTTGTACAAGGAAAACATTCGTACCATACGTGAACCAAAACATTTCCAAAGTTTGCGCCTCTGATGCAAAATGACACACAGTTGTATAGTTTACAGAAAAGGATTACAAATATACGGAACTTTATGAATGAAGGGCCTTGACCTTATAAAAAGTTATTTTCTTGTGCTTATTTTAAAAATAACCACACGTGTTCATTTTCAGAGTTTCAAGTCATCGCTTACCCACCATTCCTTTCATATTGAGACATTTTATTATTTTAATAATGTTCAAGGTAATTTAAAACCATGTTAGGCACTCAACTATTGCCCTATTGCAATTACAGCTGGAATTCAAGGACCATCTCTCATAGATTTTGAGCGTACTGATCACAATAATGAAGCTGAGTGGAATATTCACACTCCTCTCCCACGAGCACATGCACCCAAATAGAGAGGTGAGGTCACTATCACCTGCCTGTTGGATTTGCTGTCCCTTTGCTCTTTTCATTAACTGCTGAATTCACTGGCTTTCAATAGGCTCTTTCAGCGTGTCATGCTACACCACCATTGAGCTACAGCCACGTTGCCACCCATCTTTCTTAATGGGGACTGGAGACTGTGGAGCTGCCTTGTTGCCATGGCAGCAAGCGCTTTCACATTCTCCCCACATAGCATGGAGCGTGCATGTTGTTCCCTCCAAACAGGAGCTCGCCACAGCAGAGACGGGTCTGCTGCTCTCAGTCAGAAACTATCCAGCCAGGGTTATTTACCTCCCGCTCTGATACCAGATGCCCTTTTAATCCAACCACCCACACTCCGCTTTCCATCCTCTTTATTACTGTTGCTTCGTATTTCCCATTGGCTTCTCTCACAAACTCTCGACTTCTCCAAGACTTTTTTAATATTCATTCCGGCTTTGTTGTTATTACTTGTCAGGGGTTTAACTTGATATAGGCATAGGCTTCACATACATAGAGTATCCTAGTGAGGGGAATATTGGGACTAACTATTGCCCCAACATGTACAAGGCCCTCAAAAAGCCTAAATGTTTGCTTTCATGTACAACTTGTACTTATTCGAATAATAAGTAGGCTACAAGTTGCTGTTGTTGGGCATTGATGGAAGAAGTACTCATATTCTACTCAATTAAAAGTATAACAATATCACCGTGTAAAATATGCATTCAAATTCTAAAAAAGTATACAGACAAAAATACTTAGAGAACTAAAGGTAAGTTGGGAGAGTTGTTCAATTCAAAAATAATATTACAATAAATGATTGTATTTATGCATTAATGTGTTAATCATTTCATCTTTCTAGTTCTAGTTGAATTGCTTTATATATGCTGAGTAGGACTATAGCTTGTGAATTGACTAAGTAACTAGAAACTAAAGCTGTCATAAGTTAAATGTTGCCTACTGGAGTTTAAGTAGGCCTACAATATTTGCCTCAGAATATGTCAAATATTTCTAACTTCACCCAACTCTGCGTGGGGAAATAAATAGTTTGAGAAGTGTTTCAAATCCAGGGGGCGTTCCCCCTCTAAATGTGCACAGTTCAGTCCACTTCAACTTCAACGGTAGGTTTGGTCAATTCTAGTGCTTAGGACTTTATTTGAATCAAAAATGTCATTTCAAATAGGAAAGTCAGGCTATCAATAGAGAGAGAAAAAAGACCCAGCAAGAGCAGGAAACAGTCAACAAACGTCACCGCAACTTGCTAGCGGTGTTACACAATACAATGTGTTATTATTGGTAATCCAGCTAGCTAACATGGCTAGCAAGTTATTCAATAGTTAGCAGCGTTGCTATCAAGTTTCCGAAGTGAGTAACGTTACTTCTTCCACCACTGCTTTAGTATATAAAACCATCTCCAACTCTATGCTAGCGTGACCCAAACACTGCGGTATTTTAATGCTAATTCTATTAACAGTGAAGAAAAATCTATAATTGTGCAAATAATGCCAACAGTAGCCATTTCTCATATGTGACACTTTGCATCATACATGCTTCCCTCTGCTGTGTGTCAGGATCAGGTCAGGATCAGTGTTACATGTCTGGACATGTCTGCTGCATGAGGAGGCTCACTTAGCCCCAGTGAGTGTATGGTGAGGATGCAGAACAGTATGTGGGAAAAGATGCTTGGATATTGGACACTGATCAGTATCAAGGTAAGGTGTTTCATCTCCTTAGATGTGTGATGAGGGTGTGTTTTAAAAAGTTAACCCGGACCTTAAATTGAAACTAGTGTTTTGCCCTATGGTTTTGCCCTATGGTTTTGCCTGGCAGTAAAGGTTAACACCAGCA